GATATACTCTCTTTGATGCCGTGTACATGGAGAAATATGTAATTTAAACAAGAAAGAGTCAAAGCTAACATATATACCGTCAATCTAAAAGAAAAGCGAGATGTCCTGGTGAGGAAGCCGGAGAAATTACATGTATCGAAAAAATAGCGGGAGAAATAGCGACCAATCTAAAAAATAAAAAAAAATAAATTTGAACAAAAAAGAATGAATAGATTTACCCTAATATCTCTCTCAATCTCAACACGACGATGCAGTGACGCACTTTGAAACTTAGAGGTTCTCGTTTACATCTAGCCGATGTATTGAGCTTTTAATTTTGGTAAGTACTGAGAATCAATCTTTTATTACTTCGCCCATAGATTCTTTCAATTTTCTTCCTCAATATGTATAAATCTTTTCTGTTTGATTAATCGAGGTCAAGTTTTATGCTAGAACAAGGTCTGATTATCGTCAGACTTTAAATGATTTGGGTTAATTTCAATTGCCCTCTTAATCTCTTATTTTAGGTTTGATTATTTGTACAGTTGGTGAACTCTAATGGAATTTTAATGGTCAGTATTATTGTTTTGAGTTTTGGTGATCCCCGAATTGAGGTGTGAGTTTTATTTTTATCTGTTATTATAAAATCTGATCTTTTCTGTCTATTTGAAACAGTTGCTAATTATATCTCAAGTAAATTTAAAAAATAGATATTTTTATTAAAATTAAGGTGGGAAACTAAATTTGTGGGGATTAAAAAAAACGGGGGAAACAAATTATAATTAGCAAAAGGCGGTGATTTAATTTTATTTGTCCCTCAAAACCGCTCCGCTCTCAGCCTCCCACCCGCGAACTCCCCACGACCCAAAACCTAGCTAGGTTTATTTCCCCCTCAAAACCCCTCCAATCTCAGCCTCCCACCCGACCAGTACCTCCCCACGACCCAAAACCTCCCCTCTCAAAAATTTCAATTGACCTCCGATCTCACCTCGATCAAGACCTTGAGACCTTCACTTTCCCTTATAATAACAGATTTAGGCGTCTCTGGTCTTTCCAATTCGTGCAATTGTGGTTGCGTCTCTCCCCTTTCCGATTTCTGGCAATTGCATGTGCTGATCGCCTCACCCCCACAAAGGTATTTTGAATTTTCCTATTATTGTGATTAAATTATTCATTCAACTCGTAAAAATTCCCAATCTCTTGTTGATTCTGTGCATGTAATTCTGTAGAGAAAAACTCTCTGCTTTTCTATTCTATACAAAAAAGAAGTAGTTTTAGTTATTGTTCTTATTAGGAAAACAGTAATCAAGATCTAAATATTTCATGCTCTCCATCAACCAATTTGAAATTTCTAATTATTTCGGTACATAGTAGTCTATTTTTATTTGAAAATTTATGAACTATTTTTAGGATTAAAAGAAAAAAATTAATCTAATACTCTCCGTAACCATAAGAGTACAACACTCAATACTGAGAATTAATGGGAAATTATATATAGAGCTTGTTAATGTTTTTCCTTAGAATTAATGGGAAATTATAATTAATTATTAGAATTAAAATAGAAACTCCCCTTAGTTGGTTCGAATATTATCCTTCGTCCGGAAATATAAACAATGTTAACGAGTAGAGTAATTAGTTTGAATTCTGACAGATAAAAAGGAGAACAATGCACAACGATTTTTTTACTCGACACGTTAATGGCATTCGTTAAGAGTTCTCCAAAAGTTCATGAATTCAGGATGGGGTTTCCCTGACTTATAGAAGTTCAGGGAGTTGTGTGAAATTTACTCCTTTAAACTTTCAATAGTTGTGAAGGGAGAAGGAAGGGAGCGTACATATTGTATAAGTGGAGTTCTGGTCAAACCCGGAGCAACGCAATTGGTTCGAATATTATCCTTCGCCCGGAAATTATATATACGCTTATTACTTAGTTGGTTGACACTTTTTCCTCTTCATTAATTTTTACTTGATCTCTATGCTTTCATTTATTCCTCTGCACCATTGATTATTTTCTCTGATAGTAACTTCTTACTCTGCTTATTTCTCAATGTTATTGATGCTTTGTTTTTCCTCCCATTCTCTCTTAAACGATTTAGTCTGGTGAAGAATCTGTTATTACATTACAGTTGACATGTTTGAAGATGTATGTGACTAATCCATATATGTTATATACATGAACATGTTGAGGATTATAATTTTATCAACATTTTTATTGCCTCCATTCTTTTCAGAAAGCTATAGACAGTTATCAATATTGAGAAAACACTGTTGGTCATTGAACTTTGTGGTTGCTTGACTATAATATAACTTAGTTGGTTTTGAAGTGTTTGGGTGCATTCATGTAACAATTATCCTAAAGGTCTTATGCATTATCAACAAGTTAGAAAGGAATATATCCTCTTTATAATCTAACGAGTTGGTTAACTGATCAACATATTCATGGATGCGCACTCAGCTTTACACTGGAATGGCGTTTTTCCTAACTTTCATAGAGCATGCTATAGTCATCTAAGTGATAACAAACCTTGATAAATTCAACAAAATGTTGAAGAGTGCTATGTCATTCAAAGTTAACTGGAAAGAGAAAGACTTGTAATCTACTATTTTCATCTCAAGGTTTTTTATTACCTTGTTTAATTTGTCTGTTCCCCTTATACATTGTTTACAAAATTCTGGTAACCCTATTGTTTTATTTCTAAAGTCATTTTGTTTTAAGGATTGAAGGGCTTCAGCTCTGACTCTTGGTTCACTATGAAGCTCCTAGCAGGCCTTTAATATTGACAAATAGGTTGTTGTTCACCTCTGGTTTAATATTTATAAATAGGTTGTCCACCTCTGGTTGATCTAGATATAGTTTCTATACTTTGCTTGTCGAGGTCTATTTATGATAATAAGGCTCTAAACCAGGTCTCCTACACTACCTTTACTCTTCATTATTATTATAGTTTTAGTGCAATATGAACACTCAAATGCTATCATAGTTTTAATGCAATATGAACAGTTATGAACATTCAAATGTGCAAAAACACATCTATAAATGCATGCTCATATGCAAAGCTAAAGGAGATCAAATTCTCACATGGTGTTTTAATAACTAATTTACCGTACCATAACTTGAGATCATTCTTAAATGAACACTACAAAGTTAAACCATTTCTGTCGAGGGGCTAACAGAAACCACCATTAAGGTTATCAGATCACATAGGAGTCTTGAGTTGAATACAAGAGTCTTTATATTTGAATTACTTAATCCTTTTTACTTTATAACTCTATTAACTGTATTTAATTGGTTCGTCAAATTTCGGATCGTCAACGAGAAGCAAACTCGACGCGAGCATTCGAGGGAGGCATCTCATCGCCACCGTGAAGAACCCAGAATTAAATAAAGGAGAGAATCAAATTCATTCTCTTCTCTTTTGTAATTAGGAAATCCAATTGTAACTGAGATTAAAGGAATACAAATCAAATTTTCCTTTATTGTCTTTTTACTGCAAATTTCCCACCAAACATACCCCTCTTAAAGTCTTTTATGAATGATGGGAGGAAAGGAATAGACTTTTGCCTGTATGAATCTGAAACTATATCTCTATTGTTTTTTTGAGAGGGTACATTATGCTAGAGTCTCAGGATACCCTTTGCATATAACAGTAATAAACGAGGAATATCAATTGTTTTGTTTATGGAACAGGAACATCTAGGTCCATGAAACCGAAAGTGGATCATGTGCTTATGAAATTGGAAAGAACTTTTTCTCTCTTTTTATTGAAAACCTAGACTTGTCTTACAACGTTGGGTTTGGATAGCCTTGTGTGCTCTTTCTATATACTTACTAACACCTTTTACTACTTGCATAAAAGAACTTGACTATATGCACTTCATCAGTGTAATACTTTCATAATGGTCTAGAGGTTGTTTATAAAACAAACAAAATGGCAATTGTTCATTTTGTTGATGTAATCCTTTTACTGTGGATCGTTGCTTGTGGATCGTTGCTGTAAATTCTTTTTTTTCATTTTGTTGATGTAATCCTTTTACTGTGGATCGTTGCTTGTGGATCGTTGCTGTAAATTCTTTTTTTTATGTTTATTTTGACAAAACATCAAAGGCCTAATAGAGGTTAAATGATTTTCTTGTCCTTGTACCTTAACCACCTAACATTATAGATAGTTATGATTTTCTTGTCCTTGTACCTTGGGAAATTTCTAAAGTATATTATAGGTAGAAGATGATTTGCATCACACATATTTCAAGACTTCATTGGATATAGCTCATCAAATCGAATCTAATAAATTGTTTTTGTAGTTAAGGTTCTTCATCAAAGCAATCATGATTTACTCAAATTCCACTTTGTATTGTTTCAGCTTGTTGTTCTGAACAAAAATATCTGTTAGATTATTTTTGGCTTCATAAAGAAGATTTTCATACGTCTTTCATACTTTACATACTAATTTCCGTTATCTTTTTTGCAGACAATATTCTTCCTTTGGTTTGCGCTATCCGGTTGGTTGTTCAGGTTCTTCATTTTTGCTACTTGGGTACTGCCATTTGCTGCTCCTCTCTTCTTATTGGGACATTTGCGAATAATTTTGCTATTGAGGTACCTACTTATTTCTCTGATATTCTCTTCTCCCATGCCTTTTTGTTTTATCTTTTTTTCCTACATTGTATCAGTGAACTGCGAAAAAAATGAAAAAGAAAAGTACTCGTCAGAATGATCAGCTCTTGTAATACTTTTCACTTTGAATAGATAGGCCTGAGACGCACAAGGATATATAATGATCAGAAATAGACCTAGGGCCATGGAGTCATCTTTATCTTTCTGTATTTGTTCTTTTTTCTCTACTGTGTCTGAAGGTGGAATAATGGTGCTTCAGACTCTTTTCCTTAACAGTATTGTTTCTTTATCCCCCAATTGGTCATTACCTAACTGATTGTGCTACATTTTCTTGAAATTTGGAAATCTCTACCTAATTTTTACCAGGTAGAAAGGGACTGAAAGTAAGGAGTTATTCATATTTGGAAGGATTTCTATTAGGAAGTTAATAGAAGAAATTTTGTTGAGTGAGAAGGAGCAGCTGGCAATTAAGAGATCAGGCTATAGATTGTAAGAAACAGGAGGGGAAATGGATGGTTTTAGATATGTTTATTAGCTGAAAAGATACAGGTTCATTATCGTCCAAACTTCAAATAACTATGTTTAACAAATTTTGAAAATGATCAAAATTGCAAAACCACTGCAACGAGTTCAAAATAGTTTGTGGCATTGTGCACTGAAGTGGGAAATTTATTTTCTTCCATAACTGGAGATGTAATTAAAAGTTCCACGTACATGATTATCAGTAGCCCTACCAGAAAAAGATACAGTTATTAGCAAGAATAGCAGAAAAATTTTCAAAAAGATACAGTTATTAGCAAGAATAGCAGAAAAATTTTCTTTGAGACTCATATAAACATGGTAATGATTCAAATAGATGAATGTTACATTCTTTTGCATTTTGACCATTCTAATTGTCTGATAATAAACAGTGAGAAGATGTACCGTAACAAAACGCCTACCGTTCAGAGTTCTACTTCTGGTAAGTAGTGCATATTTCTCTTATAATTCATGATTCATTCACTTGGTTGATTAGAATATTATTATCAATTTAACGTTTATGTAACAACAGGTAATGCACCAAGTAATCAATCACATGCAGAATTATTGAAAAAGAAACGTTCTCATGCAGCAACTAGTTATCTGCCATACGTGAATTCTACAGGGAATGGATCTGGTTCTAATCCGAGTAAATATGCAATCTTCATTTTACTGCTAGAATATTTAAGTACTGTTAGTTTTTACTTATCTAACAAGTGTGTATGCTAATAGGTACAAAACGTACTCGTCTGCAAACTTCCAATCAAGAATGCCAAAATTCTGTAGCAGATGGACTGAATTCTAGTAGTACTGTTGTCACCACAGAACGAACTACTACTGGTAAGTGGTGTTGAATTGAGCTGAATTCAGTTGAATTGAGCAGAATTGAATTATTTTCCTCTAAAAGGTGTAGAGAAGCTGAATTGAATTTCATTTTCATCAATTGCAAATTACAAGGGTATACCTAAACTACAAACTCGAATGACAGGGATTAGAGTTAGTGCACGTCTTCAGCAACAAAGTGTTAATGATCAGCCAGTGGTAAACACCATAGTTGAAGAGCGAGATGATAATGTGATGTCAGATATTAATCAGGAGCCTCCTTCAGGTATACAAAACATTATATACAAATATTTTGAGAATTAAATATACGTATGTGTTATGTTCTTAATAAAAATTATGTCAAAGGTACAACCAAAAAGGTGCGAGGGAAGACAAGAGGAGTGAATGCAGATAAGGTGTTCTCCCAATTGAATTCTAAAATACCTGTGACTCTGACCGAAGAAAATGGCAGACCTACGGGCCCTTATGCTGAGATGTTTGCAAATGAAATTGGTTACACAATTCGAAACTACGCCCCACTGAATGTGGAAAAATGGAAGAAGATTGAAAAAGCAGATGTGGAGAACTTGATCAAAAGAATGCAGGTTAGTGATGATTTGTTTTGCTAAAGGCATTATATTGGTTGCTTTGATTTGTTATATTTAGTTTGACATGAAATTATGCCTGTGCAGAATAAATTTGAATTTGATATGTCGCTCCCTTGGGTCCAGAGATATGTAATTACAACATGTCAGACCGTATATTGTAATTTTCGTTATAAGTTAAAGAAACATTTTGAGCAGTTTTCAACAATTGAGGAGGCAATTGAAAACAAACATGAAGCTGTCAAGACTCAGGAAGAATGGGAGTTTCTTTGCACTCATTTTTCTAGTGAAAAGTTTAAGGTACAATATCTTTTTTATTTTTCTCCACGCATTACATTTTTTTTTATTTTCATTTACTTCTTTCTAACTGTATGTCTCAATAATTTTAGATTCGCTCAGAGAAGAATGTTCTTAATAGGTCAAAGTTGACATATCACCACAAAGCTGGGTCAAAATCATTTATGTCACACCAAGAGCAAATTGTAAGACACTTTTTAGTTTTGCTTATAAATTTGTAACTTAATTGTGTACATATATATATGCTAAAAATGAAAACATGGTTGAATGCAATAGGCAACACAGACTGGAGAGATGCAATGTGCAATTGATCGTTTTGAAACAGAGTATAGAAGCACAAAAAAATGATGGGACTTGGGAGCAAAGGAAAAATGGGTAAGTAACGTGTCAATGATGCATGCTTTTATAATATTTTAAGAATATAGGTGAAACTGATATTACTGTTCTAAAGAGGATTATATTGATTAGGTTGTAATTAAGAAGTTGCATATGATTGAACTGGATATATTTTTTTTACTTATAGGATCAAATGATAAAGATGCGAGCAGATACCACTCAACCTGATGGAACTCGAACAATGACAGATGAGGAAATTTGTGCAAAAGTTCTCAAAGTCAAATCAGGCTACATTAAGGGCTGTGGTTTTGGCCCTAGACCACCACCATTTCCATCTGCTTAGTATTCTTAGTGACTTAAACTTGGAGAAATGTTTCTTTGATCGTGTTGCATTTGTTATTGCTTTAGACTAGTATTGTTACTTATGATAGTACCTTTCTTGCTTTATTTATTTTAATTGTTTTGATGTACTGTGGTGACAATTGATGATAATTATTTATATTTAATTGATGATAATTATTTATATTTTGTGGTTTTTCTCGTAATAGCATTATTATTGATGAAATAAAATTTCCTCATTATAAGTTTTCTCGCTATAAATTTAGGTCGATGAAAGTAAATTTCCTCAAAATAGACCCTACAACCTAAGGTGACGAAAATATGTTTCCTCGCAATAGGCCACATACTTATGTCGTCAAAAGAATATTTCCTCGTTATAGAGTATACTGCTTACGTCGACCAAAACATATTTCCTCGCTATAGTGATACAACCTATAACGACAAAAGTAATTTTCCTCGCTATAGACCATATAACCTATATTGATAAATGTAAATTTCCTCGTAATTGAATTTCTTTGGCGAGGAATATGAGGTACAACCTACAACGATAAATTTAAATTTCCTCGTCTTTGAGTCCCTTTACTGAGGAACTGTTTCCACGAGAAAAAGATACATATAATGAAGAAAATCAATTTCCTCGTTAATGATTTACCTTTGGTGAGGAACCATTTCCTCGTTGAAAGGTACTTACAACGACGAAAATAATTTTTTTAGAACTTTTATTATATATAAATTAAATATTATTCACATATAATTGGCGAGGAAATTGTAGTTTAGCGATGAAAAAGGCATGAGATTAGGTGAGGAAAAATATCGAGGCTAAAGAGTAACAACGAGAAAAGAATATATTCATCGCAAAAAGGATTTCATGAGAAATTATAATATTCCTCGCAGAAACTTTTCTTGACCACCCTACTGCGAGGAAATGGTGACCAAAGTTTTTTCCTCGCGAACACACTACGGCGAGGAAATCTCGACTTTCAACGACAAACTTGTTCCTCGCGGATTAGCTTTTCTGTTGTAGTGGGATTAAGATCAAATTTAACTAAATGTTAGTTGAACTAGAAGGGTCATTGACTTGAGTAATGAATTTAAGGTAATAATTAGGAGTACTAATTGATTAGATTTGTTCACTTAGGATTATTAAATTAGGAATATGCTAACTAAAGTTTAATTAGTACTATTATATATGGGATTAGGGTAAGAAAAAGAATAAAATTAGTTTAAATAGGGTTCTATACATACACTAATGTGATTAGGGTTGCTATTAGGATCATATTAGGTTGATTAATTTAATTGAGTTATTAAAGTTAGGAGTAAAGTAGATTATTGAGTTATTAAAGTTAGGATTAAAGTTATTAAAGTTAAATTAATTAATAAGAGATAGAAAAATGCTGACTTTTTAGTTAAAGTTAGTTGAATTTGGTGTTATACATACACTTGGGTAAATAAAATTAATTGGTTAGATTTGATGAGATCTAAAGTTAAGGTTACGGTTACCAAACTTCAAATAAACTTAATTAGAGGTATATGCTTAAGATAATGCTATTTGGACTATGATGAGAGGATCAATTTTGGTAGATCATTTTAATTAATTAGGGTTAGATTATGTTTTTTAATTTTAAATTTTCGAATATGAGCAAAAACTAGTAAAAGATAATAGTAAAAGATAATACAATGAGAAGATTAGTAACAAAAATTGTAATAAAAAATTATCAAAAATTGTAATAAAAATTAGAATTTAGTAAACGACAATACCTTGAGAAGATCGAGGTGACTGATTCACAGCAGCAACGGCGGCGGCGGGCGAGGGATGACGGTCGGGGGGGGGCGGGGGGAGTGGACGTGGCGTGCTGTGCGATGACAGTGAGTGATTTGCGGGCGAGCGGAGGCGCGATGGCGCAGGCAAGCGACGGTAGGTGTGAAGATGCAGGCGAGCAGACGGCCAATGGCGGTGTGCAATGGCGAGAGAGGGCATGGTAGGTAAAAAGCCGGGGTTTTGTTTGGGGTGGGGGGCTGCTGTAAAAAGGGAATGAAATTTTTTGAGGGATAAATCCCTCCAAAAATTATTCAATCTTCCCGTTGGTGATGTCGCACAACCCATTAGCGATGTAAACATTGTTGACATGGATCTTACAGTGCCGACGGCAACATCCTTGACGACAAGAGCCGTTGGGATGTAAACAACACCGACGATAAGCTCCTAACAGGGATGTTGCCGTCAGCATTTCAACAAATTCTACTTGTGTGTTGCCATCACTAACTCCATTTTTGCTTCTCATCAATTTGCAATAAATGCTTTTTCTATTTTTTTTTCTTGAATTTTAAGTGTAACTTTTCTTTATTTATCCAATTATTAATCTCAATCATCTCATCCTCCATTTATGGTTGCATCATGTACTAATAGCGAGTTTCCATCGATCGGTTTTGGTTGTTTGGGATCATAATAATTGCAGAAGGATTTTTTAGAAACTATACTTTTTTTTGACTTTAGTAAAATTATCCTTTTCTGGAAAACGAATTTTAAGATCATTGTTTTGCCCTAGCAAAACTTTCTTCTTTGTTTGGGTTTATTCGCTAAAAGGTTGAGAGGGGCTGGAGAGAGAGAGAGAGAGAGAGAGAGAGAGAGAGAGAGAGAGGGGTTGGGAAGTGAAACAAGAGGAAAATAAAAAATAAAATCAAATAGGAAACGGCAAAAATATCCTACCTATTTTTCATCCATTTTTAGTTTATTTATTATTTAAAAATTGTTATTATCGGAGTACCGGAGCATTCCTCTATATATTTACCTAGAAATAAAAATACAATATTATAAAACTATAGTATGGAATAGAAACGCACTCAGATATGTTTCAAATGAGATGATTCAATTTGTTACTAATACTTATTTAGTGTTTTTAGATAGACTGGGATATGATTTTTAAAATTTATGGAGTGCATATTGTAAATATTTTAATAACTTATATGTAATTTGTAAATTTTTAAGGGTGTATCAGGTGCGTTTAGCAGCAACTCCAAAACACCAGGATTAATTCTAGACTCTCTCAAACTGGTTTTGTTTTGCAAGTGGGTCTTCTTCTTAAAATGAAGACATGTTCAAACATGACCCCATATTAAAGAGAGTTGCCAAACGCACCCTAAATTCACCACTGCTCCTCTTGGATCCTAAAGAATATGTTTAAGTGGCCTTGGTCTTTCTTGGCGACTCTTCTACACTTTCACATTTTAAAAGCTTTAATTAATTTGGTGGGGACTGACTGACGATCCCCAGTTTTGATATCTACAATACGGAGGTCGAACGATAATAATCTTACAAGATTTGCATCGGAATAGGGCATCTGTACAAGTTCGGTTGACGTCAGTTTTCGTCGCGAGCAAGGCTCGTTTGACGTGGGTTTAAAAGCCCACGGGGATCCAATGTGGGTCAAAACCATCGGTAATGTGCGGAGGTGCACAAAATCCAAACATGATTTGTACCGTTTTAATAAAAATCCAAACAGGATTTGGAGTGAGAGAAAAAGAATTTTAGTGCTAATTCCATGGGCGATATATAGAGGGAGATTTGCTCCCCATTCTCAGAAGATCGATGAGCAAAGAATCAGAACGAGAAAGAAACAGGGAAAGCTCAACAGTTTGGTGGAGCGAATGGGTGAGTGAGGGTAGCCTTGTAAATATCCATCCATCAGTGGAGCACTGACCCGACCATGATTCTGCAGCAGATGGACATGGACCAATCTCAAACATGTTACATGATTCGGGGACCAAACAGCAGTTTCAACAGTTTGAGGGGGGGATCCCAAAATTTGAAACGATTCCAGGGGTTAATGTCGCAATAATAATAACCCTGAAAAAGAGGGGGCTGGGTTAGTCAGTAGGCAAGATCAGTCTGCTACAACAATTTTCCTCATTATTAACATTCCTGATGAGCCCCCAAAACCCACGAGTTCAAGTCGATGAGGACGCGCTTGCCTCCTCAGCCTCAAGGTGAATTTCTCATCACCTTATTATTATTTGCCTATTTTATTCTTTTTACCCTGATGTTAATTTCCAATTTTCCTGCTTCTTGTTAATTTGAAAATCTCATTCCCATCAATTTCCTCCTTTTCATCTATATATCCTGGCTAGCTACTCAAGACTTTTGAACGTTTTTAGTGCTTGCAGTGACTTTCATTTCCTATAGGTCTAAAATTAAATCTTTTATCCTGGCCATCTGTAATGACTCAGGGTAAATTGATTAAGATTGGACTTATGGGTATATAACAGAAGTTCAACTTGTTGTTGTTATTATTATTATTATTTTATCATCAAATGATTACACAATTGAGATTTAGTTCTGGTTGTGCATCGTAATTGATTCCTTCAATTACATATTTGGACGTCGAACTGCACGGCGTTAGAACATGTATGTCTTAAAGAAATTTTCCTCGTGACCCCAGCATGCTAATCTTTAGGGTTCTTGTATATGATTCAGAATTTGATGGAATTTGTAGAATACAACCCTCTACACAAAGGAAACTTTTATTGATAGAACACTAGAGAGTATAGCACTTACTCTTACAAGAACACCTCACTTTCACACAACTCTTTTATTTTTGTGGTCACTCACACAAGCCTACACTACACACTCAAACTCTCAAGCTCACTTCTTGCTTGCTTGCTTACCCAAATGAGAGCTCAAGACCCCTATTTATAGTTGTTTAAGAGGGCCAGGATGTGTGTGGAAGAGTCAATCCTAGCCATACATTACTAAGAAGTTTCTAGAAGAATAAATACTAACCATACACTTGTATCTTCCTAGAAACTTCTTGGTAGATATTTTGTAGGGTGTTACTAGAAATGAGTTCTAGAAAGTTAATCTAGAACAATCTAAGTTGGTGAGGAATTTTAACACTCCCCCTCATCACCAACTTTCATTTTTCACAAGTCCAAGCTTCTTCTTAAGCTTCAAAAATGTTTCTGTCTTCAGTGGCTTGGTGAAGATGTCAGCG